ATATATATATGTATGTATGTATATGTATGTATGTATATGTATGTATGTATGTATGTATGTATGTATGTATGTATGTTATTTTAAAAAAATTTCAAATTTTGGTGTTAATTAATAGTGGAATTAATGCCAATTAAGGGTTTCCAATCTAGCATACACTAGGGCTGAAATTTGAACTCCATATATTGTAAGACTTTTGGTTTATTTTGGGATTGAATGAAATTTTAAAACATTCACAAATATATCAGGTTTTTCTTGTTCTGAAAAATGGGGACAATAAAATGAAAAATAGAACGAGAAAAATTGCACAAAAAAAAAAAACAACGGAGAGACACACAAATTTACGTGGTTTGACAAATTTGTCTACGTCCACGGAGCTGTAAAGAATTTTATTTCTTCGAGGAATTACACCGTCGAACACTTCGACGTTTACAAGAAAATGTATATTTTCTTCTCTCCCTTCTTCTCTCTCTCTCCGCCTCTCTTTATGTCTTAGGGGACTTGGCTTGACCTTGGCTTCTCCTTTAAGCCAAAAGATGCTATTTATAGAAATCAGGAGAGCGGTAGGTGGAATGTGGAGAGAGGTAGGTGAGCAGTACGCGAGATGTGATAGGCAAGCGGTAGGTGGAAAGGTAGTTGAGCGATAGTTGATATTCTTAATGAGGAAACTAATTAAATTGCGGTGGATCAGGTCTCCAGATTACCCAACAATTCTTCCATTTAGAGATTGAGATACTAACTGCATCACCTACTGGTTGCATCATCTACTAGATGTATCGACATTTTCCTCAAACATGATATCCTCCACATCTGCAACTCAAAGCCCCTGTCTTCACGTTAGAAGACCAGCTGAAGTTTAGCACAACTTTAGCTTCTCAAGAGTAACATCTTTAGTCGATATATCAGTATCAACATAGCTTTGTATCTCCAAACTCTTTCCTAAGTTACTCCTGTACCTACTAAAAACTCTCATTACATGGACAATATCCTGTCTAAGGGCCCGTTTGAGGTTTTAAACAGACCCTAAGTTGAAAGCATTTTTCAACAAGTCCAACTGTGTACCTCTTACTATCATCAAGCGCAGTCTTCACCCGGTACACTCACTTTTTGTGCAATTTCTTCCTCCATGGTGGAAGTTCTGCCAGCTCTCAGATCTGATTCTATGGCAGGTAATCCGTCTTCTTCTTCATGGTCAGCTCCTACTTGCTTGAATTTTCATCTTATAAGTTTTCTTCATGGCTCTGTGGCTCTCCATCATCTGCCCGTACAAGATTTGATTTTCCTGCCTTTGACGCTCTCCTCATTCATCAGTTAGGTAGTTCAAAAATAATCAAAAGATTGATTGTTCTGTAGATATCAATATGTCTGATAGCATGTATGTAATTATCCCTTCAATTTAAAAGTCTTAAATCTTGTACATTTATATTGAAATACCTATAACAAAACACCCTCATAATACTTAAGCAAGTGAGGGCATTTGAGTCATTTCATAAAAGTAAAAAATAAATCCCATTTTTTCATTGGCGGCAGAATTGTGGCGCTCCACTCTCCACATACCTAAACCCTTATCATCTTCATCACCCCCACCATTTTTCCTCTCAGAAGCAGCAGCAGAATCTCCTTTCACCACATGGCCTCCAATTTCACGCCGCTCCTCCTCCATCCGCCTCCAATCCGCCGCCGCACCCAATTGGAGCTACCACTCCTCCCAACTCGGCGTCTCGTCCTCTTTTCTCCGGCCATCTTTCTCATGCTCTCTTCTCCGGCTAGGGCACAGGACATTCCCCTGTTCGGCCTCAGGAAGAAACTGAAGAAGCTCGAGGAGGATGCTGTGGAGGTAGTGAAGGAAGGGGAGAAGGTGGTGGAGGAAGGAATTGTGGCCGCGGAGAAGGAAGTGGTAGCGGCGGAGGAGGGGATCGCGGCGGCGGCGGCGGCGGCGGGATTTGGTGCTTTTGGGGATTTGGCGCAGGCTGAAGCAGTTGCAGGGGTGGAAGTCGTTGGGGTTCTTGTTGGATTGTCCGTCGTTAATGGGATTCTCGGACCGGAAGGAAGATGAGCTTGAAGATGAGCAATTCTGGTTTTTTTGCAGGAGCATGTTGCACAATTGCCATTGGTTGGCTTTTGCTTGCCGTAATAATTATTTATCTGTTGTTATTTTAATGGTTTTGTGTAAATTATCTATAGAATTCGATTCTTGGAATGAATTATTTCGGTTTTTTTTTTATTTTTTATTTTTTTTTTTGGGGTGGTGTGTGTATAACAACAATAACAATAAGTCTTTATTTGACTAAGTGCGGTTGGCTACATGAGTAATTTTTCTCCATTGTGTCATATTAAGTCTCATATTTTCATTTAATTATAAAAGATTATGATCATTTTTTGTAGAATATGCCCAAGTTTTTTTCTGTCACATGAGTAACATGACCAAACCATCTAAAATATCTACTCTCTCTAATCTTGTCTGCAGCCGAAGCTACACTAACTCTGTCACGAATAGATTCATTTTGTATTTTATCTCTATCAAACCACTCATCCAACTCTCAGCAACACTTAACTTATTTTATGATTCTCTTTTAAAAGTCAGTATTTTGTGTCATAAACATTACAGATCTTACCATCATCCTATAAAATTTTCCTTTAAACAATAATTTCCTATCACACAATAAGCCTGATGCATTCCTCCGCCACAACCAATCAACCTGAGTTCTACTAATAACATCTTCATCTATATCACACAATAGGCCTGGTGTATATGTATTTATCCCCCCTTTTTGGGTGGGCGACATTAGGATATATGATTCTGGTTAAGCAAACGACATAATTTATATGTCAAGCACAAAGTGATTTGTTAGTATTTATAGGCTTTATATAGTGTAAGACAAAAATTTATGATAATAAATAATTCATAATATACAATAGTTTTTTTAACTGAAGATTAAATTTCACAATAATTTTGTGGAAGTTTTTTATTTCATAGAAGTCTTATAATTTACTGTGATTTTCAAGTTTATGATTTTGCAGAAATAAGCCATTAGGTGATTGTCTTGTGATAGAAACCAACAATGATAATATCATTTTTGCTAATGAGACTTGCAGAATTTTTAATCGGATATGTGATAATTTGTAATTTAATTATGTCAAGGAATTGTTGCTTGATTGAGGGCCATGTAAGAGAGGGTTGTTTAAGAACAATAATTGTATGTGTCATCGTACCACGAAACCTCATAATAAATTAGAAATAGGATGTGACTAGGGGCCCGTTTGGGGCGACTTGTTGGGGTACGGTGGCGGTATGAAAGCGCCACGGAAGTGTTTGAAAAACACGTTAGGCGCAGATTATTCATGCCGCTCACACGCGCTTACGGGATTTCCTTAACAGAAAGAGCCGCGTCATGCGCCTACTTCCGCGTTCGGGTGAAAATTTCCTTCGGTGCCCCCTCCCCATCGCCCTTGCCCTCGCCCTCGCCCTCTCACCAAGCGAAGAGGAAGAATGGCGCAAACAGGCTTACCTTCCTCGATAATTTCTGGTCTGTCGTTGCCTTCGCGATCCTCGCGATCGTTTTGGGCAAAACCAGGAGGGATCGTTCACGAAGGCGATCGTTTCGGGCAAAATTTGGAGGGGGAGTGATAAGCGAGGTTCGTTCACGAAGACCCTCCAAAGCCAATCCGTTCTCTTCGTTGAGACAAGCGGCGCTCTGGCGAGCCTAATCTCTGATTCCGTTCTCTCCTCCCCGCCGTGAAAGGGCTGGATCAAGACGATACTTAATACTTTCACCTGTAGCATTATATGGGCTGAGTTAAATTAATTTATCATAATTTTTTAAGGATCTATAATTAATTATATCAAAATTTTAATTATAATTAATTTAAGAATATATAATTAATTTATATATCATCAATTTAATTATAATAGATATATATTATAATTTATATATCTTCATTAATGTAATTAATAATTGATTAATCAAAATTTATTAGCTAATAAGTTTATAATTTATAAAACAAATAAATGATTACATAAGTTATGTTAACAGTTTCAACAAACATGGGCAGAATGATCAATTCTCCAGCAACAACTATTAATAAACTATTCTAACTAAGCTCCCCCAAACAGCAAGTCAACTTATTCTAATAATCTGCAGATTATTAAATCATCAGAATAATATGCTTATTAGCAGATTATAAATAATCAACAGCTACGCCAAACAGACCCCCTAAAGAGGGTTCATGGTAGCTACTAGTCGTTGATAACATTTTTCTTGAGATGGTCTATGTAAACACTCAATTGCCACTACAAATCCCAAAAAAAGGCATGTTCGGTTGCATAAGATAACTTTTTAAATTAAGGTTGTTGTATGTCGGAAGATTCACAACGGTATAGTGATTATTTGACATCTTAGTGTTGTATAAAAATTCATGACACACACAAATAATGAAAATAATAGGTGGAGACATTAAGAATTTTTACTTGAAAAGCATGAAAAGAGAAAAAAAAAAAAAAACACTACAGAGTCTAACCCAATCAGAATGATCCACTATAAGCTTCTGAGTACAGGTGTAGACCCTTGTCCCAGAGACGAAAAATAGTTACTGAGTTTCTCAAAGTTCACTTTTTGTACGCAGAATGGTTTATTAAACATTGGTTGTAAGCTCTTGCCATTGAGAGTTATTGCCACAACTTTAATATATTGTCTTCGGGTACATAACTTTTTTTCTTGAGGCTGTCAATACATTCTCAATTGTCACTGTGAATGTCAAAGAAGGCAAGCTATATTTCTTAAAAAAACACATTTTTGAAATTAAGGTATGAACCTCGTGTCAATGTACTTATAGAACCAGTTAATGATGTTCTAGACAATCAACTTCAATAAGACGATAAATCTTGATGCCATCAGAATGTATTGGGACTACTTTTGCAAGCATGGACATCAAAGCACGTGTCAAAACATACAAATATGTCTAAAGAGCATTATATAACTTTGATGACGTGAATAACAATTCAAACATCCATTTGGTATTTTAAAGAACTTTTATTATTATCATTTTCGAACTGGTTAAAGGCAAATTTAATGGCACCCAGCGTAGAGGGCAGGTTTGAAAAAAATGAAAAAGTTATTGTGATCACATCGAGCATGTGATCTAATTGTAAACTTCAAAAAGTGATATTATTTTACAATTTTATTTATAGCATAACAATTTGAGCCTGTTTGGAGCAGCTGTAGCTTGTTGAATAATCTGTTGATAAAATGATTAAAAATAATCTGTTGATAAGCTAGGTAAGGTAGCTATTACAAATTTTTATTTTTATGTAAAAATCAGACCACATTTAGAAAGCTGTCACCGCACCTAGATAGGACACCTAAATAGATGTGGTGTGAAAGCGTTATTTTCACCGTTTTGAAAACGCACAAGCTGTCGAAACGCAACTTACCCAAGCAGGTCAGGTGTGTTTTCAGAACGTCACCGCACCAAATAAGCTGCCCCAAACGACCCCTTAATAGACTTTCTTACTCGAGTTATATTTCTTATGCATAAAAGGAGTTGTTTCATATCAGGAGCATGATTACTAGTAAAGAAAGATTTTCTTAGTAAATCTTTAACTTGGGATCTAAGATCATTTATTTTCATTTAATTGGATATTTAACATGACATGTTTGATAAGGGAGCTTGTGAAACCATTTATCCTTAAGATAATCTTAGATTGAGGTTGTTGTTGGAGTTGTGCAAATATGATTGATAAAGTAAGGATTAGATTACAATCTAAGGCAAGACACGTTGCATTGATGTGAATTAAAAATGATTTTCATAATACTATTGACATCCATAATTTTCATTTAACACAAACAAAAGCATGTGGTATGAATATGAAAAATATCGTTATGTTGCAAATCTTTATCTGTGAAAGGATTAATAATCAAGTAGTAAACATCATCTCGATTGCCAAAGCCATACTTATGTTCATCAAAGAAAGTTATTTTCCTTCTAAGTATTTATATGAGCCAAGAAGTGCAACATCCATATAATTGCTTTTCTTTACGACGAGATCGTTTGACATGCATTAAGATATGATAAGGCTTGGTGGTCAACAAGTGAAAAATATGGGTCCATTAGAGATCTTAGAGCAAGATGCATTTTTAGAAGAAAAGGCGCCTTAACGCATAGATTGTACTAGTCTACTAGAAGGACCAGTAAAGACAATGAGGACAAATGATGATATAATGTATTTGTAGAATATTCATACCCTCTTTGTTTGAAGGTTTATTTCATAAGCGGCAAATACAAGTTTTTGTGGTTCATAGTCCTCTTTTATTGAGTGTCCAATAAGATTCATTAAAGAATATAACAAATTGTTTGGTTAAGTAAATAAAAAGATTTATATGTTTAATATGTACATCTTTATGTATTGATTGATCATTAAGGGGATGTGCGGAAGCAAATGAGAGTTGAATTAGTAGAATCTAGTAAATCTTGGAAATCTATATTTTGTAAATCACGAAATAATTAAACTTAAATAAAATATTAGAAAATATATTTAATAAACCTAGTTGAATCCTATCAAACTGTTTAGCAATTTTTGTTAGGATTTAAAAATTGTAATGTTTGTTAGAAAAAAAAAATGGTTAAAATTAATCATTAAATTTAATTAAAATTCAATTTAAATTTTATTTGTAATTATGCTAATTAATAATTAATTATCACTAAACAAATTAATTATTAATAAAAAATTAATTTAAAACTTATTTATTAAACAATATTATAACATTAATCAATAATTAATTCACTAATTAGAAATTATATTAAAGAAGAATTACTTAAAATCTTTTAAAATAAAATAATTATTAAATAATTACATCTAAATTTGTCTAATTACAATTAATTTAATATAATAAATAAATAAATAATTAATTAATTAATTAATCAATTAAATTAATAAAGCTACCTGAAATAAAAAACACAAGCTTGCATTAATCCTCTTCTCCCAATATAGTTCTAAGAACCTTCCCTTTTCTACCCAAAACATATGTTTGTATTGGAGTCTAGCCGAGCCGAGTGTATCATTTTTCGGACTTGCCTTGGTATAATTATAAGTTGTTTATGTTTGGTTTGAGCCTATGTCTAGCTTTCAGACATTGTTAAATATTGATTTATTAACTTTCCAATGTTTAAACATGAATTATACTTAATTTGTTTATAACAAGTGAACAATTCTTCAAACTAGCTAAAAGTTTTAGATAAAGATCTATATTTTCATATAAAAATTTTAATAAATAAATTTGCAAATTTAATCACAGCTACTAATTTAACGATTATGAATTCTAAAATATTTGAACTTTACTAATTTACTACATAATTCTTATTGATAGGACCACACCAGTTCAAATATTGTAAGTGAAAAAACTAAATTGATCCTTAAAGTTAGGGATGAACATTTATTTAATCATATTAATAAGAAAATAATAGCAATAAGATAATTCACATGAATGTTGTTGGTAATTGGTGTGTAATGATCATAAAAAATGAACTCATTATGTTCAAGTTTATGAAAACTACAAGAAAAATATTTTATGACACACTATTTAAGTGTAAATATCTCATTCTAAAGTATAATCACTTATTAATAAAATTAATATATAATTAATAATTAAAGTAAAAATATTATTGATATAATAATATTTAACTATTAAATTTATAATCAAGTAAATAATAAATAATTTTATTTTATTTAAACAATATATCATATATATATTACGAGTTATTATCGAGTTTAATATTGAGTATTTAACAAGTTAATTGTTGGACGACAAACGAGTTTGTTCGTGAACGTAAACGAATAAGTTCGACTATGTTTATGTTCAGTTCTTTTAAGTTTCGAGCTTTTAAAAATTACTTAAACTTATTTATTTACTAATTTGAAAGGACATGATCAAGCCTTAAATCGGGTTGAGTTTAAGTTGTTCATCGAGTGCATTGGTTCATTTACAACCCTGACAAAACACTAGCTTATGACCCAAAGTATCGCTTTCGTGACTCGATACTCTCATCTTTCTCCTCCTTCCCGCTTCTACCCTGAACCATTGAGGAAGGTGACTTCACATCTTCCTTTTTCGCGGAAGAGATCGTCCCGGTCTCCTAGATTTACTAATAAGCCGATTCATGAGATTCAGTAAATCTAATAATTAGAAATCAATGAAATCAGAATTTATCAAATTGTCGGCTTTATTTTTGTCCAAACTGACCATCTTACAATAATTAGGTTAAATCCTACTCTAAATCCGTAACCAAATATATTATAAATATATTTAAGAGTTTTTACATACTAACTCCCTAAAACTTAAATATATTATTTTAACCGCCTAAAATATTAAACTCAAAAAATTATATATTTAAAATAAAATCCTGTTTATCCACCATTCTTGCATACCTACCAACCATCTAAATGCAGCCAATCACGCAACTCGAGAGAGATGGAGCCCCGCCAGAACCTTGAAAAGCGAATGCAATTCTATCGAACGGAACCCGCCGGGACAAATTATATGGTCCACGTACGCTGATTGCGAGATCCTCTCCACCGTCTCAGTCTCAATGGGCAGCTTCCTGGTAGGAGAATCCAGTTTCTAGCCTAGCCCCTTATACCCTTACAATGTTTTCTCCTGCTTACCTGTTTCTCAGACGACAATGGATTTTAATGCGGTTTTAGTTGGTTTTCAACATGCAAAGGTTTTTTTTAGTTATTGGGATTGTGATTTTTTTGCAGTTTCATCAGTACCAAGTGATGGGCCGAGCCCTCCCGATCCGAAGCGACGAGCATCCAAAGATTTATCTCATAGAAGGGCGGGCGTCGAATGAAGTTAGAGTTAATTGCAAGTTCTGGTAGCATGGATTTCTCTATGTTTATCGATAATACTTGGCGTTACTTTTATCATCTTGCGTTCAATCTCTTTACCTATTTTGGATTAGGCATTTCCGAAGGAAGCCGAAGAAAGTTAAAAAAAGTAATGATCGAGTTCTTGTCATTAACGAGGTTCATTCTTATATCTCTCTGCCAATTTTTGCACTAAGATGTTTATTAATGTTAGTTACTGAATATTATGGCTAATTTTGCTTGCTTTTTAGATCTCTGTTTTATCTGAAAGTACTTTATTTGATTCTATGTTATGATATTAAGGATGTCGGTGTTTGTTAGATTGTTACTATTCAACGTATGTAACGTAAAATTTATTTGCCATCTTATAAGATTGAAGTTACAAAAAAGCAATGACAACCATTTTGAATAGCATGAGTTTTGGATGAAGGAAAAAAACTCACAAGCACAAAAAGGAGACTGAAATGACCAACAAGGAGATGCCGAGAGCATTAATTTTGGAGGACAAAAGCCAAAGGAAGGCACCTGTGACAAGCTTTACTTGCTGGAGATTTTGATACCGGTGAAGAATCTTTATCGAATCAAAGGATATGATAGTCTAGTAGTAGAGCTGAGGAATATGAAGGAGAGAGAGAGTGACTATGAAGAGCAAAAGTTTGAAGAGACTAAAGAATACGACCTAGGTTGGCAGATGTTTTAACATTTTGACATGTAATCTAATCTCATCTGACATCTAAATATTTAGTCAGATGTTATAACAAGAAAGAAAAAAAGATGTCAAATAATATTTAGATGGTTTTGGAGACGGACTCAGATTGTGGATTTTGGATTGTAGTTCCTCAACAACTGATTGTTGGAATTGAAGTTTGTGTTATCTTTTTGGTAACTGGAGACAAATCTCTCAAAAAATTTCATGACACATTCTTTGACTGCAAGAGCATCAAGCCCACCTACTTCGTCATGATCATTGCCTCCGTTCATTTGGTCATTTTCTTTGCTACTATCATTTCCTTCTTATTATCTATATCAATTAACATTATATTCAATATAATTTTAAAGAAAATAACAAATTAATGACACAATTAGTTATTCCACCATAATTAAATTAACTTTTTATTTCTTTTATGCTCCAAATCGGCTTTATTTTTTTTTTCTTTTGGATGATTGTGAAACTGAAGGCATACTCAAATCAATAACGCTGTCAATGTTAACAATGATATGTTCATTATCATCATCGCCCAAGGCTATTACTTCATCTTCAACTTCGAGTTCTTCATAAAGTCTTTGATCTATCCATTTATCATGAGATAATATATAATTAACACTTAAAAAATCAAATCTATTATCACCTTCTCTTTATTTCTATAACTTAAAAGGTATCCATCTTTAAAGTTTTAGTTGAATATAACTTATATAGATTTGTTCATACTCTGTTGCCAATCAATCCCTCCTCTTAATATGCACTTGCTTTATTTGTTATCCATTTGAACAAATAATGTCCTCTCCAACTTTATCAACAAATTCATCATACACTCTAAAAAATAGAGCTACATATTAAACAAAGGTAGATGCATTAACAAATTTAAAAAACATGGTCCCATAAGATTGTTATTAAGGAAATTGACAATGCCCTTTTCTTTGATATCTGATCAATCTTGTGACATTATTGTTACCCTTATATTAGCTATTTTTTTCCCACTACATCAATAACTTTTGTTGTTGTCTTCAAAGATCTAATTCTTGATCACAATTCCCACCACAGTGAAGAATATTAATTCATGATGGCTTCTTTGCAATGTTGAATGAAATAATACTTTTATAAGTGTATCTTGAATGTCTAAACAAAATTTTTATGTTCTTTGGTCTCAAAGTTCCACAATTAGAAGAAAGAGAAATAGTCCACAACCACAGTAAAAGTTAGAACCAACAAATTGTTGAGAAACAAAATAAAAAGTGATCCCAATCATTTAGGCCATAGTTTCTTGTACTATTTATATGCAGTGGAATGGCTTTTCAAATATTATATGCATTATTTTTTAAAATCATCTAAATTTTTTAGCCAGTCTGCACACTAAGTGGAATTTCAGTCTCTTGATAGCTTTGATAATCCTCTTGACAATTTCCATTTGAAACAGGTAGCATTTTGTTACCTTCTCTTGATCTTCAAGTTGAGTACACAATATTTCCTAGCTATCCTTAGTTTTGGTACCACTAGACATTACAACAAATTGGAATAATAAAAGAAAAATCTTCAAGGAAAATGAAAAAAAAAACAATTGAATGAAAAGAAAGAAAATACAAATTTTATCTGTATCCTATCAAGCACATTCTAATGCATGAATCCTATACACATTCTAATCCAAGAATCATGCGTAAATGAATTTGATCCTATTGGGAAAAAATCATAATTTGCATATATTTTCTTGATGATGCATTTGACACAAAATTTACAACATATGATTTTATTAAATCAGAATCTGCAACTATTTTAGAAATTAGAACATGATCACAAATCTTAATCCATATTCAAATTAGAGTTAGAATAAAGTTGTGTATGAGTCCATATTTCAACATAAACTTCTAAGAGAGTTGGAATCTATTCATGAATGTAAGATTGAACAAATTATGCCTGTCATAGTTGATGTATCGATTGAGCAAGTTGGTAATGAAACCTGGCGATTGGTTATTTAATGCTGCTTTTTTTCTATGTTCGAGTGAACATCGAAAGAAAAAAAGTGAAAAGGTATTTTATTTCCCACATCCTAGTTGGGACCACAAACTTCATTATCCATTCGGTTGTGATAACCTCTGGGGCTTCTTTGCTCATTTATTTCTGTCGGTTGTGCCATTTAGCTTGTTCTAATTGAGATTGGAAATTTACTGCTATTTTTTTTCTGTTCACTCTATACCATATGACATATGGTTATAATAAATTAACATAATTTAATTTGGTTACTCATGCATCAACTAATATGTTGAACTAATTGAAAATTATTCACTTCTTAGGATCCGGGTAAGTATCAGTATGCCTTGAATGCTGTGGCATCTTATTTTGGGAGTAATTTACAGTGCCATATATGTGGCGTCAGAGGAGGAAGAAATTTTAAGCTGCTTATAGCTCCTCAAAAGGTCTCTGTTCTCGCATCCTTGTGCCAAAGACTGCAGATACTTTTGGATGAATTGCACAAAATTTTATCATTAAGTATCTCATCTTTTCGAAGGAAAGTTATGAAGGTGACATTTTGGCAAGAAAAATTCATACTAGGCATTGGTACCATGTCTTATGTGGTTTTAAGCATAATGCTCGTTATATCAGCATCTGTAACAGTCAGTAAAGCCGCTTGTAACCATCTACCTGAAATAATTCCATTAGAATTATTCGATGTTTGATTAAACACCTTCATTACTTCTATGCGTGCCATTAATATGCACATTACTCTTTGATGATCCATTGTAGGGGCACTCACTGAAGACAATCGCCTTTTCTTGGAGGCATGGAGGATCGTCGATCGCGCCTATTTTGATAAAACCTTTAATGGGCAAAGTTGGTTCCGCTATCGAGAAAATGCACTTCGCACTGAGCCAATGAATAATCGGGAAGAAACATGTATGCTTTAATTTTTCATGGTCAGATGAAAAAAAAAATTCTAAGAAAAAAAAATCTCAAGATGGGTTTGAAGCAATGGTTTGCATGCTCTTTATTATGATAACGATAGTCACTGATTTGAGTTAAAAATGGCCTTTTATATATGTGAGCATAAAAAACTATATGCCATTTTTCCTCAACCCTATATTAGTTGGAATCACATTCACTTGGTGCATCCTATTGCTCATGTTTTTGAAGTCCTCCGTATGATGATAGTGTGATACAAATTTTCCCTTTGTGCATTTCATTTTTATTTTTAAAGTGCCATGATTGCTTCTCCAAAAAGACCTTATGTTCTTTTAACTATATGCTACCGATCTATTTGTATTGCACTTTATGCCAATTGCCAATGATGAGAATTTACATTAAGCTTACGTTTTCAAAACCTCTGTTAATATTTACTTTATTTTTTGGGACTCTACTAGTGATTTTTTCCATATTTAACCTCCACTAGCTTCCATCCATTCCTACTCACATGCAAGAACATAACACAAATTGTAATTTATGGAAAGTAGAATCATGTAAGCTATGCATGCCTTTGTACTTTTGTTATGTGATATTTTCTCTAAATGGAACTCTATGATATTATGATAAACGTAGGAATTCCAAAATTAGTAGTGCTATTATGTTTCTCAGGAATTAATCCGTAGATGGTGCCTTGACTGTTCTGATGTGGCCAATTTAGTCCAGAAGTTTTGCAGTGCTATTAGTTTAGTCCCTAGTCTATATAAAATTGATTCAAAATAGTCCCTCATATAAAAATAATGACACAAAAGTGATCTCAAGTTCATTCCTCTACTATGCAAATTTGATCCCAATTTAGTCCCTAAGGGATCAATTGAGATCAATTTACATTAGTTGGGGATTAAATTAGCACTACAAAATTTTGTGACTAAATTGGATACATCTGATAGTCGGGAGATCATTGTAGAATTTATTAACCCATGTGGCTCATGTAGAAGGCTTGATTTCGTGCAATGGGTTAGTTGTGCCACTTCAATATGTCAGGCTTTGAATCCAGAAAAGAACTTTTATTTTATGAGGTAAGGATATGTACATCAACTCCATAGACTTTTCAGTAAGGGAAGCCCATTGGACTAGGCGTGCACTTTATTTTATGTTACTCATTAGCTTTCGTCCCGTCTTGTAACATTTGTACTCCAACTTCAAAATCTTCCTTTGTTTATTGATTTCTCTTTTTCATTCAGTATCCAAATTTCATGCTGATTGCTTTTTATGGTATCTATTGCTTGTGTTTCAGACATGGCAATTAAGAAAATGCTTTCCACACTTGATGACCCATTCACTCGGTTTCTAGAACCAGAGAAATTCAAGAGTCTGCGGGTATGGCTTTTTTTTTTTGGAGGATTTACTTGCATTCCACTCATTCTTATGCATTTACATATCTTTATGCATTTACATATCTAACACCTAAACTTTTAAATGCCATCTTTCCTTTGCATGAAAAGGTGTATTTCACTTTTTAAAAGTTGAAATAGTGGTATTTTTTATGTGATATGAAAGATTTGAATGGCATAAATGTAAAAAATCAGAGTTTAGGTGTTAGATATCTAATCACATAAGAATTAGGTGGTATGCATGTAAATGCCCCTTTTTTTATTGCTTGACCAGCATGTTATGATGAGTTTACTACATCAATCAAGTTAGTAAATTATGTTTTTTTTTTTCAGGACCTTCTTATAGTAGTGTTTACTCCAACTTGAATCTTTTTTTTTTTTTGTTTCAAGGCAGTCTGGCACTCAAGGTGAACTTACAGGCGTAGGTTTATCGATTGGCTATCCCATGGGGCTTGACATACCAACTACAGGACTAGTTGTGATTTCCGCATCTCCAGGTGGTCCTGCAAATAAGATTGGTATTAAACCTGGAGATGTAATTTTGGCAATTGATGATAGAAGCACTGAAGACATGGATATATATGAAGCGGCTGAGCTTTTACAGTGAGTGTTTTTTTCTGACAACTTATTTATGTTGCTATTCCTTCTCATCAGATAATTTCTTTTTCTTATGTTTTCTTACTTATGAAAAATCTGTCATATCAAATGATAATCCCCCCCCCCCCCCCCCCCAACCCACACCCCTCTCTTCACTTAAAAAAGGGAATGAATTTTGCATGTTCAATTTATTATTAGTCAAAGTCTGAAAATTGATTATGGGAGATGCAAACAATATGAAAAATGGCCTTAAAGGGTTTATAACATGTTGAGTTAAAAAAACAAAACCATCTCTTTTTATTATATATAAATTAGGGCATTTGTAGTGCATTTTTTTTTGACAATTTGGTTAAGAACATTAGTTTTTACATTTTAACCCTAACTGCATTTAGTTTATGTTTCTATTTTTAAAGATTAGAGTGGTAAAGTGCTACGGAATTAAATTATATGAGGCGATGTACTTCTCCCAATTTTGAGTAGAAACAACCAAACTACACATGATTATGTTCTGTTTTCCAGAGTTTGTTGTAACTTCTTATGGATTGTAGAATATTTAGTTAAATGGATCTTGAAAAAGGTATCATAATTTAGTACTTCTTCTGAAATAACCATGTTTTATCATCAACGTGGCGAGCAGATAAATATCTTGATGTGTTGTAACATAAAATTAATAGAAGTTGCTGTTATTGTTGATAGAAAATTTGGTTATGACTATAAATCACTGAGGCAGACTGGTATTATGTGTGGCAAGATTTGAAGGATTGCAGCAGTTGTATTAATGCTAGCTGCAAGCTGTTTAATATATGCTGTACCTGTTTTCAGTTATTCTTACATTTCACATTTCAGCTCCAGGGTTGATTCTGAATTAATATGGATGGATCTCATTGAAGCTTTTGAAGGGAATATATTGGTTTAAGGACTTGTTAATGATTACGGAATGGAAGGACTTTATGCTTGCAAGGAGCCTGTTATGGGATCTTGAATTTAGCTTAATTTACATATTCAAAGAGTACCTCTAAGTTTATACACACACACACACACACAATTTTTTTTTCTTTCTTTAATTTAAAATTTATAATTGTCATTATCTGTTGTTATTTTTAAATTTTACCCCCGCTTCGTGCATTCAATGAATTTTGTTGTTTTCGTGTCTGGTGAATTAAGTGAAAGGGGGAGTTCTTGTCAGGTATGTTTAGTGTTCCAAGCTCATTTATGTTGTACATTTATTTCTTTTTGGAAATGACAATGATTGAGCGGTTTGCAGTTAGGCGAAATGTTTTGATGCGATTAGGTCTAACATTGTGGTTATTGTCGCATTCAACCAAGATGAAATATAGAATAGGTAGTGAGGTCAACACTTGTTCATCATAGGATTTATCACATTAAATTGTCGCGTCATGCAGGGGCTTTCAAGCATCTTAAATTATGCTATAATTCATATACATGTGGTTGAACATTTCATGTTTTACATTATTTTTCCTATTAGCTTTTTTATCTTATTTATTGTGGTTGACTTCTATTTTTCTGGAGAAAGGAGGGAACCTACCTTTCGAAGGAAGATTTATAGTGACATTTGGGTTCAGTTAGGAGTTTGGCGCCGCTCATGCAAGAAAAAGATTTCTTATATTATATTAGAAGGTTTTAGTTTATTCCTCCATATAACTCGGTCTTCTGTTTAAACTATAATATTGGGCAAGATGTTCATGTGATTTTCAATTGACTGTTTTTTATAATTTGTCTTTTCAAGCATCTGGTTATAAATAGAGTTATATTTTGATCTGTTCAAAAGCTCTATTTTTATCAAAACCGTCGAGTTTTTAATTTTGAGTCATAGATTTAAAAGGCTGAAATATGGAGAGGTTTTTTCGAGGTAAAATATTATTTTGAAGATGTTTAATATATAATTATTCTGAGAGTTAGAAATTGAGTTTAATCAAGGAGTTTGATATTTTATTCAATTTTATACAAAATATCAAAGTTCTAGGGTGGCAGGTGCGAGAGGTTAGCCTAGGACTTTTGATGAGATACTTGGTTTCTAATAAAAGAAGAAATAACTCATAGGTCTAATGATTGTGATTTTTCCATACTTTAGACTGTATATGCATATGAATTAACTTTTTTCATATTGAGAATTTTAATAATATTTTATTTTGTCAAAATCTCTGATGATTGCACTTATATTTTTTTGCTAGAAATAAGCCCGTGTTATTCCATATTGTGCTTGTCTTATGACAAGCCCTTCATATTCAAATACTTATTTGTTATTTTAAATATTGCACATTGATGCCTCAGTTATAAATTAACTGATGGTAGGTGCATATCAAAGCTAAGAAATTTTAAATGTATATTGAAATATTATTAAAAAGTTAAGCAATTTCTAAAAGTCGTGCTTTGTGGAATATATTGGCAAACGATAATGTGTTGCGCAGGTTGAAACAAAAGTTTTGATTAGTTGCACCTTAATAGGGGCTAGAAATTAATTTCCAACTCTCTTTACTAGAAAATTGGTAAGATATTGTTCAACCTTGAAAGCTAGAACAAAGGAGCTATTGATAATTGTTTTATTTAAGCCTGAATCTTATCAGCTATTATTATGGCCGATGAGTTACATGTGTCAAAATCCCTACAGACATCATATGACACTTCTAAGACTTTATTAATACTAATAAGAAAGAAAATGAGAGTAAAGTGAGTAATTTTATATTTGTAATTGACTAGCATAATGCATTGATATGCGCAGGGTGTCATGTTTGGGCCCTCCAATACATTGTATTAGTATCTTTTTTCTTAGTTAATATTATCAGCCTTTTTGGGCTTTCTATATATATATATAGAAAGCCCAAAAAGACTAATAATATTAACTAAAAAAAAGACACTGATAACTACAAACACTTATGCTTATTGCTTATGATTGTAACATTCACTTATTTAATTATTAAAGCATATCCTGATTTAAAAATTGTAATACTAAAGCTAGTTAGATCTATGATTAATAATGGTTGTATTAGTTCAAATGATCATTATGCATATTGTTATTATTATTATTGTGCATTTTGAATTGTGTAGCAAAATTATTTATCCCGCAAAGCTTTTTGGTGATAAGATATTGTAATTGTTGTTTTAGGAAGGAAAAAAGAGCAAGTGGAGCCATATTTAAGTGACCTTGTTTTGACCTTCATCTTAATATTATCAATGCATAGTTTTGGATATATTATAGAAGAAAGATGATCATAATATAAGTTAAAGATTTCTTATATATATATTAATTATACATGAAGTTTAGTAGAAGCTATGTAGCCCATTTTGATAATTTAAAATGTTTACATTTTTATATTAAGATTTATAATGGATTCATTATATTATTTATAAGTATAATATATATTTTTGATGATTTACATATCCATTAGATTATTTATAAAAATTAATGATAGTCATTCAGAAAAGCATCCATCTTTTGTTAGATATATTCAAATGTCGTAGAATAGGTAATTTATGATAAAATTCATAATTTGATCAAGCCATTTTAGTTGCTAGAGGATGGTGTTTGCTGTAACTCAAAGCAAGTAATAATTTATACTAAATAAATTATTTCTTTATTTATTTTTCCCAGTCAGCTTTCATTTTTATTTTATTAATTTGTTCCTTTCCTTTCCAATTAATTTGATTATTCTTAATTTAATACTTCAATGTTTCTTTAACTGTGATTGCCGTGCAGAGGTATCGTAGGAAGCACTGTTAAATTGGATATTCGCACTGGTACTGAAATCAAGCATATGTTTTTGAGGCAAGATTAGATATATTCATGTTGGTGTTGTTGATTGAATGTTTTATCCACTGCATGAAAAATTTTATTAAATAATTCTCTGAATAATATCTAGGAAATCATATTTATTTTCCTTGTGGAAATCAACAAGATATATTACCAACTCACTAATAAAATTGGCAGGAGAGAGAGAATTACTCTGAACCCTGTGAAGTTGAGACTCTGTGAGGTTCCTGGTCGAGGAAATAACAGCTCCAGGATTGGCTACATTAAGTTAACATCATTCAACCAGAATTCTTCGGGTTAGTTTTTCTAATAATTCTCTTTGTTTGTTTGTAGGGTAAAAAACCTATATTTACGGCACATCCTTTCTGAAGGATCATGAGAAATAGTAAGTTTGCATTTCAGATTTTAGGATGCAACGACACTTCTTGTATCTATTTCACTATTTAGTATTTCTATTTTTATCAATATCTTGGGGGGATCTAGCTTGATAGTAGTTGAACAAAAGACATGGTGGCTATCATATTGGTATCCAAACGTATTTTTGTTTCTTCTGGCAAAAAAAAAAAAAAGAAAACGGAAAAAAAAACCTGTTTCCTTATTTTAGCAATGTCACATATATTGTGAATGTTAATAGAAGTGCTGTAGAGTTTAATGAAGGTGACTATTATGGCTCATATACATCCTGAATGCTTCATGCAAATTAAACGTTAGAAGAGGCATTCAAGGCCCTATTATCGTTTTAAAACAAGCAGGAAAATCAATTCTAATGTTTATATTTTATAATTATATTTATTAGTCTTATTTTTAATATTAAAGATATATTTTCTTATTAAGGCAAATTCGAACCTCAAGAGTTACCTGCTGATTCTTCTACAAGGTGTTTTTTCCAGAATTTTTGTTGGTTATACGGATCCTAATTTCTGGTTACACTTGCTTGGATGTTGAGTATCATTTCAGATGAAGTGATAATTTTGTAGAAAATATTGAGCATACATTTTTAGTTAAGTTTAAAATGACGACTAATGATAATTTGCAAATGTTAGCCACCATTTCTTTGATGACTACATGAATATTAACTCTTCAAATTAGAGTTATTTTTACCTTAGGGGACTAAACAAAATTGTGGAATTACGCTCATTATTATTTACTTTAATTCTATTTAGTACTTGTTATATTTAGTCATAGTATAAAAAGAGTAGTAATTCAATTATAGGTATTTATGTTTATTCCATAATTATAAGAATTACTTAATTGTAGGAAGATTTCTTTCCTCATTTTATCTCTTGTACTCGCCTATTTATATGTGAATTATCTATGTATTAAATGAGAAAAAAAGTTATTCAAAATTCACATGGTATTAGAGACATCAAAGAGAAACCTCTCCCGCTCGGCTCAATCACGACCCTTCTCTCCCGCGATCCTCCTTGATCGAGCGTTTCCCTAGTTTGTCGTCCGCATCCGAGCGCTGCTCCTACCAATCACGCCTCTCTCCGATCGTCTGCGTCGGCTTCGAGATCGTCGGCATCCGCTTTCGCGTTCACGTCTGCTTCTGCGCTCTTCTCCTGCGATCATCCGCGCTTCTTCCGCGATCGTCTCCAGCGATCGTGCTTCTCCCGCATCGCGCTTCTCCCGCGATTGCCGACCCGAGCACAGCCAGTTCCCGCGATCTGTCGTCGACTCTTCTCCTGCGCCGACTCTTTTTCCGCGACCGAGCACAACCAGTTCCTGTCGTGCCACAATGACTAAGTACGATCATGCCTACAACTCCTCCACTAGTGATGTCACTTCTAGCCACCCCTCCGCGGTTGGGTCTTCATTGCCCAGCAATTCAGACAGTAATTTTGTCCTCATCACCAGCCACAAAATCACCGGCCTGAATTACCTCCAATGGTCTCAGTCAGTCATGATGCTTGTATGCGGCAAAGGCAAAGATGACTACCTCACTGGTGATGCTCCAGCTCCGATGATGACAAATCCGTCATACAAGACTTGGAAATCCGAGAATAATATGGTTATGGTCTGGCTTGTTAACTCGATGACACTTGATATTGGCGAAAATTTTCTTCTCTGTGGCACGGCTAAGGAAATCTGGGATGCTGCCCGTGAAACCTATTCTAGTGCAGACAATACAAGCGAATTATTTGTTGTTGAGACAATTCTTCATGACTTTCGTCAAGGTGATTTCTCTGTCACCCAATACTTCAATACTCTTACTCGGTATTGGCAACAACTAGATCTATTCGAGGTGTACCCTTGGCAGTGTCCCGAAGACTCTGTCATATTTCGCCAAATCATAGAACAAAAACACACCTTCAAATTTTTTCTCGGCCTCAAATCTGAGTTTGACCAAACTCGCTCACGAATTTTGAATTCGAAACCTCTTCCAACAATTCGTGAAGCTTTCTCCGATATACGCCGCGAAGAGTCACCAAAAGGTCGTGTTAGGGGCTTCCTTGTCCACTACAGTTCTCGACGGGTCTGCACTTGCTACTCATATTCCATCCACAGACAACTGTCAACGTCAGGGCCGCCCTTGGGTTGACCCCACTGCCGCCGTTCTAGCCATACTCGGGATACGTGTTGGCGGATTCATGGCAAACTCGCCAATGGGAAACCCAAACGGGATCATCAGGCAGCTGCCACCAGCACCACTGAAGCCTCTCCAGGAACGAGCCCATTCAGCGAAAAACAAATTCATGCCCTTTAGAAGATGCTCTGTCAGTTGTCACCAGTCCAGCCTACTAGTGTGGCATCGGGTGTCACCGGCCTTGTTACCTATCAAGGTATTTCCCCATCCGCTTTCGTCTTGGATTCAACCCCTTCTCGCCCCTGGATTGTTGACTCAGGTGCCTCCGATCATATGACCGAGGATGTCTCCTTATTAATGGATTACCGGTCGTGTAATCCGACCCTCACTGTTCGGATTGCTGATGGATCAGCCTCCAAAGTTGCTGGTCTTGGTTCTGTCTGCATCTCTCCAGATTTATTTCCCACTTCTGTGCTTCATGTTCCTACTTTGGATTGCAATCTGATCTCTATTAGTAAGCTCACTCAT